GCCAATTGACGAATCTGTACCTCTGAGGCGTTCCACGAGAGTTAGGAGTGCACCTGAGCATTACTATGGATTCCATATTACTGCAGAAGGTGAGACACTTATTAGTGATGAGACACTAGTAAGTCAAGATGACCCTAACAGCTACGAGGAAGCCATGGCGGGCCCCGAGTCTGCTAAATGGAAAGAGGCTATGGATAGCGAGATACAATCCATGTATGACAATCAAGTTTGGAACTTGGTTGAGAATGTACCAGGTCGAAAGACTGTAGGGTGCAAATGGGTCTTCAAAAGAAGACCGACATGGATGGTAAAGTACACACTTATAAGGCTAGACTGGTTGCAAAGGGCTTCTCTCAAATTCCTGGAGTGGACTATGATGAGACCTTTTCTCCGGTAGCCAAGATTAAGTCTATTCGGGTTCTGTTAGCCATAGCCGCATTTCATGACTATGAAATTTGGCAAATGGATGTCAAAACCGCTTTCCTTAATGGAAAGTTGGCTGAAGATGTTTACATGAGTCAGCCAGAGGGTTTTGTCAGTAACGAGTACCCTAATAGAGTGTGTAAGCTTGAGAAATCCATTTATGGATTAAAGCAAGCACCTCGCAGATGGAATCTTTGCTTTGATGAAAAGGTCAAGGAATTTGGCTTTTCTAGGAGTGAAGATGAATCTTGTGTATATGTCAAGGCTAGTGGGAGTATAGTTAGCTTTTTGGTATTGTATGTGGATGACATACTACTCATAGGAAACGACATTCCAACCTTGCAGGAAGTAAAGTCCTGGCTTGGAAAGTGTTTCGCTATGAAGGACCTTGGTGAAGCTGCCTATATTTTGGGGATAAGAATCTTGAGAGATCGGAGTAAAAGACTAATTGGACTTAGTCAAAGTACCTACTTGGAGAAGATTCTGAAGAGATTCAGAATGCAAGACTCCAAGAAAGGAGAGTTGCCCATCCAGAGTAGCGCCAAGCTGAGTAAGACACAAAGCCCTAGCACTGAGGCTGAGATAGCAGAAATGAGTCGATTACCTTATGCTTCGGCTGTAGGTTCGATCATGTATGCTATGACGTGTACTCGACCTGATGTAGCCTTTGCCTTGAGCATGGTTAGCAGGTTTCAGGGGAACCCTGGCAAGGCACACTGGACTGCGGTAAAGAATATTCTCAAGTACCTACGAAGGACTAAGGACTGGGTCCTTACCCTCGGTGGGAGTGATGACTTGAGAGTTGTAGGGTATAGTGATGCTAGCTTCCAGACTGATAGGGATAACTTCCGCTCTCAGTCGGGCTGGGTCTTTACCCTAAATGGAGGAGCAATTTCTTGGAAGAGTTCCAAGCAAGAGACAGTGGCAGATTCTACTTGTGAATCAGAGTATATTGCAGCTAGCGAAGCGGCAAAGGAGGCGTTATGGCTGAGGAACTTCATTGGAGACCTTGGAGTTGTACCAGCTATTAAAGAGCCGATGGAAATTTTCTGTGATAGTGAAAGTGCTGTTGCCTTAGCCAAGGAACCAAGGGATCACGGGAGATCCAGACACATCGACAGAAAATACCATTTCATCAGACATCGGATCGAAGAAGGACTCCTCGTGGCAAAGAGGGTATCATCAGATGAGAATCCGGCAGATCCCCTCACGAAGGGACTGACTCGGGTTAAGCATCTCCAGCATGCTCGGAGCATAGGGCTGAAGGATGATATTAGATTTAGTAGTTAGATAATCTCGAAATTTGTAAAGTGTAATTGACATTTGATGATGAATAAAAGTGTTTTATTTATGAGTAAAGTGTTGCTATCTCTTGTCGATCGTTTACTATATTTCTTTTGCATGTTTTGACTTCCAGAATAATTTTGTTTGGTATAACATATTATTCAAACCTCCACAGTCGGTCATATGTCGGAAGTAGGTATGAATCAAGACTGTCATGTTTGGTTGTAGAGGTCTGGGACAAGGCTACAACAATCATGAGTGCTCATAAGTTCTGAGCATTGGACTCAACCCACGCTCACTGGAATCACTTCATGGAATTCTATCTCGAGTGATCGTGAGACGGTAATATCATATAAGTCTTTAAACCTAGAGATATGATTTGTTACTTACGAGTTGGTTATGCATTGATTGTACGAAAAACGCATTGGTAACTCGATGTTATAAAATCGTGCTCTTATGTGTAATTCAATGAGTAGTAGAACAAACATATGAGTCGAAGTTTATCTGTTCCTTCTTGGATTAGAAGCTGATATCTGGGCCCCTCGATGATTTTGTTTTGACCTATGTACCGGGCCCGGTCAGAACTAGATTGATGTGTTCAATAAAGTTCTTTGTCAAACAAATCGGAAATCGGGAAACAAATGTTGGACAATAAGTAAGACATTGTTCCATGTATTTGTCCGACTGATATCTAGAACAGAGGATTATATGATCACTTATCTTAAATGGCGTACCATCATCTTCTCAAGTTTCGAGAAACCTTGTAAAGAGCTACGATTGCCGATCGGTTCCTGAAGTCATACTTGCAGTAATAGTTACTAGACTTATCCAAGTGGGAGACTGTTGGATAAGGTGTCTAAGTCCATAACTATTTCTGGTATGTACTTGACCCGACCCGGCATGGTCCATTTGGGTTGCATGGCACCATGCAATTGGATAAACTAAATGAGAGAAATAACGCTTGGAGATTATTAATATATTATAAGTTCTAATATATTAATAATATTATTTGATTAGTTTGATCAAGAATTAATTTAGAATTAATTAAGTGATCAAAAGATAACTAATTAAATATATGGGTTGATTAAGTAAATCATCCATATCTTGTATAGTGGGCTAAAAGGCTCCATGGATCATCAAGTTGGGTTCCACCCATAGGATGCTCCATGGATGCTCCATGGGAGTTACAAACCCATGGGTCATGGAAATGAAGAGTCATGACACATTAGGGTTTAACCCTAGATGTGTCAACACTATATAAGGAATATGATCTCCTCCCAAATCGGTTACACTAAGTAAAAAGGGGGCTTGGCCGATTTTGAAGAGTGTGTATTATCTCATAAGTTCTTCCAAGAGCATTTGGTGTTGTGTGAAGCATTTGAGGCATCACCACTTGAGGTGCTAGGCTCACAAGGTTTCAAGGAACACAAGCAACAACAAGGTAAGTTATTCTATCTATACTTTATGTTAAAATTGTTCCCCATGTATGCTAGATAGGATATAACCTTGGAATTCAACTTTGCATGACAAATTAGACAAACATAGATCCAAGGTTATTAGGGTTGCATGTACACTTAGGAAGTGTTAGAATGCTCAAAACCCATCACTTTGGTGAATGAGATGATAGAAGAGGAAGAAACTGAGGTGTCAGTGAAGGTGCCAGAGCCAATTTTTAATGAAGTTCATTTAGTTAATAACCAAGTTCCAGTTGTTAATGATATTCCAAATAATGTTGCTCAACTTCCTGCTGTTAATGATGTTCCTTTGGTGAATGAGGTGATAGAAGAAGAAGATGACATTATAGTGATAGAAGAAGAAGTAGTTATGGTGCTAGAAGAAGAAGCAGTTGATGTTCCAGTAAAGGTTCCCCAAGATCTAAGACAAAGTCTTAATGAAGTTGGAGATGCAATTGATCAAATTCATGGTTCTGGAAGTGCATTAGATGCATCTGATGTTCCATTGGTGAATGAACATGGTGCAGAACCTGAATTCACTGAAGGACATGCATCAGATGTTCTCGCATATAAAATCAAGATAAGTGTTGAAGAAATAGCAAATTTACTTGAAGCATGATATTCCATGGCTGAAATTGAAAGCATGGGGTGGTTGGAAATTGAACTTGATGACACTCCAGCAGTTAAGATGGTAATTTATTAACCTTGTAATTTTAAATATATGTTATTTATTAACCTTGTTATTTCTTGCATCAGGACTTAAATAAGGATGAGCCTGATGTTGATGAAGGTGAAGCTGACTTTGTAAATGATGTTCTAAATGATGGTGGTGTGATTGAAGGTGAAGGCGAAGCTGACTTTGTAAATGATGGTGATGTGATTAAAGTTGAAGGTGCTGAAAATCAAGATGATGGTGATGTGATTGAAGGTGAAGGTGTTAGTCATGGGAATAAGGATGTTGGTGATGTTCTAAATAATGAGGTTGATGATGATGGGAATGTGGCTGATGATGAAGGTCATCTGATAGTGCCTAAGACAAGGAAAAGAAAGCCATTAGAGAGGATCACTAAACTAAAGCTTAAAAATGCAGTTTTTGTTAAAGATGGGAGTGGTTCCACATGTTCAAATCCAGTGAATCTGGAGTAGTTAGTTATGTATATGGGGGATTTAGGTGGGAATGGTATACTTGGGCATTTGCACAGGAAACCCTTTTTGGTACATTTTGTACATCTTAGTTTATACACCCACTAAGTGCACCTTTCATCCAGTTGTTCTCATGTACCTTTTAGGTTGCCTTTTTGGGATATATTTTTGGCAATTTGGTACAAATGGATGGATGGTACATGTTAGTTGATCTTTTGTAATCTTTTGTATTGGTACATGAATATGATGTAATGAATCCCCTCATTATGGTTATAATATATTTGTTATGTTTGTTATTTTATATAATGTTTTTTTAATCCATACCATTGACATCTATATTATGTATCATTTGTAACTACAATTAACCAAATTCAGCATTGTACTTTACCATTTAGCAATTTAATGTATATTATGAACCATATGTTTGTTATGTTTACCATTTACATTTCACAGATAATTTGTATTTTACCATTTCACAGCATTGTACCATTTCATTATACTTTACCATTTCACAACATTGTACCATTTCATAATTGTAGTTTACCATTTGCATTTCATAAATAATTTGTATCTGAAATCTTCATCCAAAACAACATTGTACCATTTCATAATTGTACTTTACCATTTCACAACATTGTACCATTCCAAAACAACACTTACTAGCCAACTTCAGCATTGTACTTCCATTTGTAACTAAAATCAATCCAAACATTCTACCAAAAGCCAAGTCGACCCAAACATTCTACCAAAAGCCAATCCAAAATGATTTACCTCTTCAAAACAACTATTGTCACCATTACAAAAATAAGAACCAAAAGACCTATAATTATTTCTACCAAAGTCTTCAATTGTCCATGCCCCTGCCCCTGCATCTGCTTTGTGTGAGTTGGGTCGATAATGTGGCCATCTTCTTCATTGTACCATTTGAAAAAACCACAGTCCTCTTCTTCCACCTAGAAAAAACAATACTTTGTATTAATTACATACAAATTAGGGCAAATTGTTTCAAGGTTTCTTCACTGTACCATTTCAAGGCTTATCAAGAAATTTACAAATTAGGGCAAATTGTTTACCTTGTAATTAGGGCACCCGTAAAACTTCTTTCCATAATTCTCAGGTGTTCGAGCAACAGATACCTTGCACACATCTCCACAGCCACATCTAACTACTCTTTTCTTTCTTAATGTTGGACCACCTTGGAAGCTTGATTTGGCAGACGAAGTCGACATTTTACAGATACTTAGGGTAGAAGACGAGGGAGAGAATAGAAGACATGGGAGGGAAAGACTTTGGATCGATGTTAACAGAAAACGATTATGTTTAGGGGTTAAAAGGGTAGATGTAACCGGTTGGTAAAGGGGAACCGGTAAAAAACACGACATCTGTGGCAAAAAAAATCGATTTTAGGCATAACCGGTTTTTTTATGTAAATATGGGGGCTTTTATGATAAAAAAACCTTTTTTTTCCTTTAAATTAAAATGAAAAACGTAAAAAAATATTAATCAGAAAAGGAATTTTAGTCTTTTCAGTTTTCTGAGGAACCCAAATGACAAGCAAACATGGTCAAAAGGACTATGAAGCCGAAAAAATCAGGATTTAGATTAAAACCCTAAAAAAAAATCATATCGTAAGGACCATTTTTGCAATTTTGTCTTAATCTTATAGTGAAACTTTATCTAGGATTAAATATTTTGCTTGTATAGATGCACAGTTGTTGAAAATTGGGATGATCTCTTCACATTCATCAATCGTAAACTTTGAACTAATAAGTTTGATGCTCTTAATGTGTATAAACAAATTTAAGCAATGCAACGGATATTGTTTTTTCCATGAAGTTGAAAGGTTGTTATGTAGACAAAAGTTGATGAAAGGCTAAAGAATCATGCTAGCATTTTTAAAGGACTAAAGTGGAAGTATTTAAGAAAAGTTGTATTGTGGAGATTATATTTGGTTGAGATGTATTTTACAAGTTTGGAAGGTATAGGTGTCATATGTGAAAGATAAAGGTTATCGGTGTAATTACTGGAAGTCAAGGAAAAATAAAGGTTATGTAATATTTCCAGCTATGTATATAGTTAGTAGTAGATAGGGTTTGGAGATTCTTTTACTTTGTCTTCTCTATAACACAAATCCTAATTGTCTTAGTAGTTTTTACACCTTGTTTTGTATAAGTAGTTTGTTTGATATGCTTTTGTTATGATTTCATGTGCGTGATGTGTGTACAAAAATTATTCTTAATATATATGTGATATAGAGAGTTAGGTTAGTGTTTTTTTATGTAGGTTTTAGAGTCGGGTTCCATTTTGTAAAATGACTTTTTGCAACAAAAAAAAAAACTTTGTATTAGCTTTTGATGGATAAAAGCCAAAAATTGTTTTTAAAAAGTTTTTGGCTTAATTTTTACATTTAAATGACTAAAAAGAATATCATTAAAAAATGTTTTGGTAGTTGTAATGGGTATAAACGTAATTTACTTGGTAAGATGTTAAAAATATTGGATTTTGTAACTTTTGAAAATGTTATTTTTTGTTCATTGCAAAAAGTTGTTTTAAAAGAACTTTTTTATTTTCCAAATATTTTTTTGACTTTTTTGATTTTTTGGAAAAGTTACCAAGTCCAAAAAGCGTTTTAAAAGGAATATCAAACACCCCATAAATCGGAAACTGCAATATTTTTACCGATAACATTATATTCGTTGAGAATGTGTTGGGATTTGTGATGTGATTATGATTCTTTTGTCTAACTCATAGCATGGGTGTTGTTGATGGAGGTTTTAGAAAAATTGTTCACTTTGTACACTTCTAGTTTGATCATAAAGTAATTAGAATTTGTCCCTCACCTTACAACCAAAACAACATTTTGATGAAGGTCTGAAACAAAATAGATCAGTTGCACGTTGTTGGATGATTGGGTAGTCAATCCTATCAAGGTGATAAAAATAGATATTCATTTCACAATATGAGCGATAAAAAGGTACTTTTGGCAATCGAACTCCTATAGACGTCATAAGCTTCCATTGATTGAAAACATCATACAAATACGAATGTCATAAAAGTTCCACTTTGTTATGTTTGGGGAGTAGTTAATTTAATTCATTCTGAATTTGAGAATCCGTTTTTTATGTGAATAAGATATAGAAAAGATAAATCATTCAACATTCTATTCAATCATCTGAAATTTTGAACATAATGTTCATTGAATCAAGTACATACATGAACCCAAAAGCCCTGATTACTTTCTCGATCAAAAAAGATCCGACACTGAATTTTAATACAAATCTAAGCTCTCTCGCCTCTAATCCTCCTAGCCAATTGCATATCTTTAGGCATAATTGTAACCCTCTTAGCATGAATCGCACACAAATTAGTATCTTCAAACAAACCCACCAAGTAAGCCTCTGACGCCTCTTGAAGCGCAGCAACAGCACTGCTCTGGAACCTCAAATCTGTCTTGAAATCTTGAGCGATTTCTCTCACGAGTCTCTGAAATGGAAGCTTACGGATCAAAAGCTCCATGCTTTTCTGATACTTACGGATCTCTCTTAAGGCAACAGTTCCTGGCCTGAATCTGTGTGGCTTCTTCACTCCTCCGGTCGCTGGAGCTGATTTCCTCGTCGCCTTTGTCGCCAACTGCTTCCTTGGTGCTTTTCCACCGGTTGACTTGCGAGCAGTTTGCTTGGTTCTGGCCATTTTTTTTGCTTTTGTGTTTGGTGAGGAGAAATCGATCGAGTGTTGTGACTTCTAAGAAATGGTGGAGAAGATGTTTGTATTTATTAGGGTTTATAGTGACGGAAGTTTGGGAGGTTTGAAACTTCGGGGAAGAATAGCGCGAACAATCCTAGACCGTTAGATTGTTGAAGTAAGAAATAGACGGCTCAGATTATATGGTGATCGAAATTGTGGATCGCGATCCTTGTGCCCTTGATCTCCTTGATTCATTTGTTTCACGTGTGGAACCAAATAATTCCACCCTAGAATGGTGATTTTTTTAATAATTTGTTATTATTAAAAGTTAATTGTTATTTATACCATCGCATTTATATAATATAATTATATTATAATTATTAAAGTCTATGATAGATTTTTATATAAAATATTATGTTATGTTATAACCCGTGAATTCGAGGATTGACAAACTATAATATATATAAAATATAAAATCTATTTATGCAAAAGGAACTTCTCTAACAGAGTTTCCGGGTCATTTTCGCACCGATTAATCCTCCGCTACAAACATAAAACTTTGTTTCACTCCCTAGAATCACTGCAGACGAATCTCCATAACCACAAGGACTGAATGGTGCTAGGATTTGAACAAAGAAATTAAAATGATACTAGAGTGGTGATAAGTTTGTTATATAAAATCTATTTATATAACAAATTTGACATGTAAACGTTAAATATATGGTTATGTTAAATTAATATAATCATATTATACGAAGAAATTAAAATGATACTAGAGTGGTGATAAGTTTGGTACACATCACCTAAGATTTGCTACATTTTCAATTTTTTGTCATTGTGGATTGTTATATTTGTTATGTTATTTTAAAAAAAATCAATTAATATAAAAAATAAACATTTTAAGCATGTTATTTTTTAAAAACTAAATTTTGATTAAACTTCGAAAAAAATTAAACATCCACACAAAAAAAAGCCATAGAATTTCAAATTACCAACCTAAAATTTTAAATAACAAAACCACATCCCTAAAATAACAAAACCTAAATGTTGTATTTTTTTTTTCGCAATCTTCTCTTTTTCTTTTACCGTCATTTCTTTTTCACATTCGTTGATATCGCTACTGTCTCTTGTTAAGATCGCATGACACGGTTTTTTTATTTCTCTTGTATGGCTGCCAAATATTGTTCCAAATACGACTTCAAGTTGTCTAATTTGGCTGCTAGTTGGTCGATGACACTCGAAGCACTTGTCGTTAAAAAGAATTAAATAGGCAATACAACCCTTGCTATTTTTATAACTTAAAATCTTAATAATTGTTAAAAAGAATTAAATAGGCAATACCACCATTGCTTTTTTTAACTCATGGAGAGCTTCATATCAAACAAACAAACGTTTAACATCACATATCTTTAAGCTTTGTAGAGGCCGCTGTCAGCCTGTTTACTTGCATTAGCCATCTTCTGGGACGGCCTTCCATCCCATGTTCATCGATCAATTAAACTCCACAAGTTAGTGTCGCTCGCTATTAATCCGGAGATGGCAATGCGTTAAAAAAATTAAAATTGGTTGTAGCAAAGGTCAAAGGAAAATTACACGATTTTTGTTAGCTACTTATTTAGAGGTCGCATAATATTCTCCTTATTTAGCCGATTGAAACAAATTTTCTAGTTTGGATTTTTGGAGAGGATTGTAGAATTGTAGATGTTTTTGAATCAAAAACTTTTTTTTTTTGCAACTATTGATGTATTTAATGTATTTTTTTAAATGTAACGTGATTTAATAATGCAATCTTCCAACTTACTGTCTTCTCTCTTTAGTTACTACTTTTGCATATGGACAAACAACATTGATAAAACAGAAACATGATGAATTCTTCGAAGTTTCATTTAGTTTCATGGTAATCTAGACCTAGTTAATGTTTTTTTCTAAAGGAAAAGGAGTGTGGGAAATAATTGACTTTTCATTGTAACAACTGTGATCTCCAATCTTAAAATAAGTAACGAACAAATTTTGTGCAATTTTTCTGACTTTTGCTACTATCAATTTATTTTGAAATACATCAATTTATTTTGAAATACATCATCCATAGATGATTATTTTTAATTTCTTGATAAAAAACGCAGACAATTAAAAAAACATAAAAACTCATCTCTCGTTATGATCAAGCAGATAGAGGAAGCATCCAAAACATAATAAAACCATATAAAGAAACTCAAATAAGAAAGGCATGATTTCTATTAAAACATAAATCATAAGTAACATACAATACAGATCACCAAGAAGCCTAAATCGCTAACCCTAACAACAAACTGTTGTCAAACAAAAACTGTTTTCAGAGATTTAAGCCCTCTCACCTCGAATCCTCCTAGCCAATTGCATATCCTTAGGCATAATTGTAACCCTCTTAGCATGAATCGCACACAAATTAGTATCTTCAAACAAACCCACCAAGTAAGCCTCCGACGCCTCTTGAAGTGCAGCAACAGCACTGCTCTGGAACCTCAAATCTGTCTTGAAATCTTGAGCGATTTCTCTCACAAGTCTCTGAAATGGAAGTTTGCGGATCAACAACTCTGTACTCTTCTGGTACTTACGGATCTCTCTTAGGGCAACAGTTCCTGGCCTGAATCTGTGTGGCTTCTTCACACCTCCGGTCGCCGGAGCTGATTTTCGAGCAGCTTTGGTAGCGAGTTGCTTTCTGGGAGCCTTTCCACCGGTGGATTTGCGGGCAGTTTGTTTTGTTCGTGCCATGTTTAGTGAACTTTGAGAGGCTGATGTTTGCTTCTTTGAATGTGAGATTATGTTGAATGTAATCGATCGCTATGAGAGTGGTATTTATTAGGGTTGTGCGAAATTTGAAGTTATTTTTGGGGGAAGAGCGCCAGATTACATGGACCGTTAGATTCAATAGACGGTCAGGATTATGTATTACGGGATAATACGGATCGCAATCCGTGTGGTTTTAAGTTTCATGTCTGTGAGGAAATAATTTTCGTTTATCCATGTGAAAAGGAAAAGGGACGAATTTAACTTCAAAATAGAATGAAATTACGAATATTTTTTTAATGATTTTTAAGTTAGTCAAAAACGGAAGTAGTAGTTTAGTTACACAATCGTAGGTATTAGCCGAAAATTATAATTCAAGCCATTATTAGTTCATCAAAAACATGGTGGTCATTGAGGAGGGCAAAATAAACAGCTACACGTAACCTGATTTTTCTAGTGATGATTGTTTGGATTATTGGGATCATACGAAGATAACAAGTGTGTATAGTAACTTGGATTCATTATGTGTGTATCAGATGATTGTTAGGTGTGAATGAGAATATAATATGATTGTTTTTATTTGTAGAGTTGGACATCTTGTATCATTTGATTTTAATTTTAATTTCATTTCACTTATAATTTGATTTCATTTCACTTTAATTTTAATTTCATTCGAATATAATTTTGATTTCATTTTGCTTTATTTTCAATTTCATTCGAATATAATTTAGATTTCATTTTAATATAATTTGAATTTTGTTTGACTCTATATTATTGTATAAAAAAATACAACATTTTTATTATTTCATACCTACCGATTCAAACGATTTCTTAATTTATTTCTCATACGATGTCATCATCATCCTCAAATTATTATGCTTCTAAATTTATAATCAACCATCTCACAGGTAATTTTACATTCTAACTATATAAGGAGCTAAAATGCTTGGAAGCATAATAGCCAAATGGTGACATTTGGCACCTACTCGACAAGTTGGAGGCCCAAAATTCGTCGAGTTGAGCCAAAATTCAGCTATAAATAGAGGTGCGAGGCTTGCTTCATTCTTCACACTATAAACCCTTTCTTTCTCTCTCTACTCTCTCTAAACCTCCCAAACACCCCTCAATCCTATGAAACTCCCCTAGCACTAGAAGAGTGTCTCGGTGTTCCCGAATGATCCAAGAAAAAGAGTTTTTCGGCTCGGAACTCTGCCCTCGTAGAGTTCGTTTTTCAAGAAAACTCTCGTTTCGTCGAAGTGAAGCGTTGTCCAAGTTGGAATCACTATCTTATCAAGTGAGTGCATAGTTACTTTCATCTTACACATAAATATGAAGTATTTTATATAAATTACGTGATATATATGCATATTATCTGTATATATTGAGATCTATTGTAACGTCCGCAGATATAGGCTAGTTATTATATAGACAATGAGTGTCGAGAACGACTTTTTGATAGAAGATTAAATAGAATAAATAATCTTAACTAAGTTGTAGTATATGTCACAAGGGTTTCGTACATATAAAGAACGTCGATATTCGAGTTATAACGAATAAGTTATGACATGTCGAAGTTTTGCTACAAAACCGATACGACACTGTGTGATGCAAAAAGTAACTTTACGAAACAATACTTTTTAGCTTTAGTTGTCTAAACAAAAGTTGTAGCATACGTTAAACCAAGAGAGTGCATAAAAAGAAAGTCCAAATATGACTTTGTATGAGAAACTTATGATTTTTCCAAGTTACGGCTTATCAACATGCAACCCGGAGTTTGAATGTTAAATCTACCAATTTTTAGCGGACATGACCTAAACGAGAATCAAGAAAAGTTTGAGTCAACTCAAGGATAAGGAGAAACTATACAAATTTCTTATGGCTCTTGATAACGATTTTGCTGTCACCAGGACCCAAATACTTGCAACTAACCCAATTTCCAACCTTGGAAACACGTACCATCATGTTGCCGAGGACAAAAGATAGAGAACTATAACTTCTGAAAAGAAGCCCTCAATGGAAGTTGTTGCTTTCAAGACCAACATCTCGCGTCAACGTGAGGGAAACAACAGTCAACGTCATGAAAAACCCAGCTATAAGGACACCAAGCCCACCGATGTTGCTGATCAGCATTGCAGTCTTGTGGGAGAGACGAACATTCCCGAGAAGGTTGTTTCAAAAGAATATGCTACCCAAAATGGTGGTCGGGAAACTGAAAACGATAATAAACAAAGTCAAAGGCAGCATGCATTGAGGCTAACACCAGCCCTATTCCAAGTTTAACAACTAGCCAATATGAAACCTTCTTGAAAAACTTTAAGGAGAAGGGAGGTACCATCAAGGATGATACGAAACCAACAACTTACATGACATGTAAAAGGGATAGTGATGATGATTGGGTGGTGGATTTTGGCTCCACTTAACACATCACGCACGGCATCAATATCCTTGAAAACAAAACCAAAATTCATTTTAAAAGCCCAGTTCTTATTCCCAATGGTGAAACCATACCCATTGAAGGAAAAGGAGATTACACTATGCCAAGTGGAACCAAACTAAATGGAGCTTTACATATACCAAAATTCACCTGCAACCTTTTATCTGTCAGTCGTTTAAGCAAAGATCTCTAATGTGCCATAACCTTCTTTCTTGATTTTTGTGTCATGCATAAACTATACACGAGGAGCTTGATTGGTGTGGGTGAATGCAGAAAGGGTCTTTACCGAATGGGAGTGATTGGGAAAGAAAGAAAAGCAATGATGACAACAGCCGACACTTGGCACAAAAGACTAGGCCACACTTCCGGTGAAAAGCTTACCAAAACTAGTTTCCTTAATAGTTTTTTATTCGATAAGTAGTGTGATTCTTGTTCCAAGGCGAAACATACTAGTCTTCCTTCCTCTAATAGTGAAATTAAAAGTACTGATTGTTTTGACTTATTACATTGTGACATATGGGGCAACTATCGTGTTCCAACTCTTTTTGGTGCTAGCTATTTCTTGACTATTGTTGACGATTTCAGTAGAACCATTTGGGTTTTTATGTTAAAATTCAAACATGAAGCTAGCAAACACTTGACAAGCTTCCACAAAATCATCAAGAATCAATTCGACAAATGTGTTAAAAGGATCAGGTGTGACAATGGTGGTGAATTCACCTCAAATGACATGGTAAAATTCTATAAAGAATAAGGAATCCTCCTTCAAACCACTTCTCCACATACCCCACAACAAAACGAGGTAGTTGAATGAAAACATAGACTCCTTCTTGAAACAGCTCGTGCCTTGAGATTTGAAGCAAACATTCCAAAACGATTTTGGGGTGAATGTGTGATGATAGCCACTTACATCATCAACCGTTTGCCTTTTAAAGTTATTAACAACAAAACTCCATATAAAATACTTTTCAAACAAAATCCGAATTATGTCATGATGAGAATTTTTGGATACCCGGTCTATTTCAGGAATATTGAGACACAAGTGGACAAATTCAAGATAAGAGGAAAACCTGGGATTTTCTTGGGTTATCCAACAGGAACAAAAGGCTACAAGGTCTACGACATCGAGAGTAAAAGGGTAATTTTGTCCAGAGATGTTCGTTTTCATGAAAATAACTTTCCTTTAAAGGCCAACAATAATATTAGTCAAGAAGATCCCCTTGATACAATAGGTCATTACGAGAACACATATGAAGATGAAATAGCCGAGGATCACATTAAACAAAACAGTGAACCTATCGTCATTGCTGACAATACCAGCCAAGAAAATTCTGAACCAAATGTTGAGTACCACTCGACTCAAGAACACGAGAGTGATCTTGTCTCTGAGGAAACTCGTCCAAAACGAACCGGATCCCAACCAACGCATCTTCAAGATTACGTCGTCACTCTCCCTCCCTCGATAGACCCTATGCACGCCTTATCAAATCAGTCTTCCTCAACGGTACATTCCTTAATAAACTATGTCTCTTATAAAGATTTTTCTTATTCTCACAAGGCTTTCTTAGTGAATATTGACTCCAACAATGAGCCAAAGTTTTTCTATCAAGCTGCAAAGGACGAACGGTGGAGAGAAGCCATGAAAAGGGAGATCCGTGCTCTTTAAGAAAATGGTACTTGGACTCTTTTACATTTACCAAAAGGCAAGTGTGAGATTGATTCAAAGTGGGTTTACAAGGTGAAATATAAACCCAATGGTGAAGTAGAGTGGTACAAAGCTCGTCTTGTAGCAAAGGGCTTCAATCATATGGAAGGAGTTAATTACCATGACACCTTTGCTCCGATCGCCAAGTTAGTTATCATTTGAATCCTCCTTGCAGTAGCGGTTAAGAAAGATTGGAGCATTCGACAATTAGATGTTAACAATGCTTTCTTGCACGACGATCTTCATGAAGAAGTCTACATGAAGCCACCTCAAGGTTTTACAAAGGAAAGAGATACTAGAGTTGCAGGCTGAAGAAATCAATATATGGCTTAAAACAGGCTTCACAGAATTGGTATCAAAATTTTACCAATGCTCTTCTTGAACTTGTTTTTTACCAATCCAAAGCCTATCATTCTGTTTTTGTTCAGTGAGGAGATAAGGGTTTTGTAGTTGCTCTTATTTATGTCGACGATGTGATTATTGTTGGGGATGACATGCAAAAGATACAAGACACGAAGCAAGAGATTGATAAACGGTTTTGTAACAACGTGAATTTTCAAAACATTTTTTTTTCATTTTTCAAACAACATAAACCATCATTCAATATTCTCAAATCTCATGTTTAGCAAATGTCATCATAATAAAAATACATCCCAAGATCATAAAATAAATCTTCCGTCAGTGTGTACAGATCATGCCTGCGCCTTCCCACGATTCTCGCTCGTACCTGAAACACATACACAACAACTGTAAGCATAATGCTTAGTGAGTTCCCCAAAATACCACTTACACACATACGCCCTTCAAGGCCATGACCTTCCGGTCCAAGTGTCTCAGGGGACTTCC